CCCCAAAACCCCAAAACCCCAAAACCCCAAAACCCCAAAACCCCAAAACCCCAAAACCCCACAGCTGGTTCTATATATTGAAATTATTCCAAGACTTTATAATTCAATATTTAATCAAATGTATATTAACCAAGAGGTAACTTTTGATCGAGATTGAGGGATTTCAGGAGGGTTTCGAAAATTCTGTAATTATCTCCTTCGCCTGGACCAGTACTAAATTCATTTTAGAACATTACTCAAAGTCTTATAATACCAAACGATAAAATTCCTACACTAAGTAGCCAATTTTTCGATTCTGAAGAGAACCTGATGGACTTGGCTATTAAGTTGTCCAATGATTACTGCTTCTGAATTGATAGTCTCAACTCATTCAAAGTTGCACAGATCTCAGGGAGCAAATTATACAAAGATATCTTTGATAACTCTTCCCATCCAGAATGTGTCAATCTATTTGCTAAGAAAAATTCAAACTTTTTGAAAAAATTGCACCCACTGAAAATAGGATCTTCTGGAGCATTTAAAGCTTACTCCAAGACCAAGGATGCAACTGAATCATGCAACCAGACCCAATGTGAGTCTCCATCCGACTCAATAAATCGCAAAGGGCTTTTGTGGGAGAAGGTCACTACAAAAGTAAAATGTGTCGAGTCCCAGCAAGAATCCTCAGACTTCAGAAAACTGCCAAAAATGTTTGATGACTCTTTGTGTCCCGAGCATCTTCATACTGAGGCTGAAGGAAGGCTTGTAGGTTTTTATACTCAAAGAGAACGCAAGAACAAGATCAAGCATCTCAGAAAAAGACTTCTTAAACACAGACAAGCTTGTCCTATCAACAAGCAGTACAAGGGAAGAAGCAATGCAGCCAGATCCAAGGTGAGACTGTGTGGGAAATTTGTCAAGGCTGAGCTTGCTGAAAAATATGCTGTTGACGATAAAGTTTTCCATGGGAGGAACAAACTCATTGATAAATATGTTAAGCAACAGGATTACCAAAAAGTTGTTGAAGTATTAGCTGAATACTAAACCTTATCCTTAATTTATTCATAACTATAACATTGCTAACAAAACTTATTCACGTTTTAATATCATTTTTGGCAAGTTATGCCTGTAAACCTTTAAAATTCCTGTTGAGAGCATCAAAATTCAGAACTTTGAGGAAGTCGGCATATCCTAAATTGCTGATAAACAGGAGGAATTGTTGTCTTAATCATAATTTTTCTATCTGTATACACCTTAGAGTTCTTATGATTTTTATAACTGTGAGAGTGCCCAACTCTATTAAATGCTATTAGACTATCTCAGAGCCAGAGATAGTCAAGAATAACCCATCTAGGAAGCCTTCGAACCCTATTTAATCACCCATTTATTCCATTAATTCGAAAACTAGCCATTGAATTAATTCAAAAAATTAAGACGGCTGAGTTTGAATTTTTCAAACCCCAAATTCATCATTAAAACATTATTAGATTTGGCTGTTTAAAATTTCATATGCTATTTTTATGAGTCTCTAAATTTCTTAAAGCCCATCGCTTCTCTCTTCAGAGAATTCGTGTTGATAAAGAAACTTGGTTCTGATAAATTGAGAAAAACCAAAAATTAGGAAGGCATTATAATGTGTCCATACAGTTTTATAATGTGAAAATTTTAAACCTGTAGCCTCTATTGAGACACTCCCAGACCCCGGAGATGCTCATATATTTTTCAAAATTACTAAGCAGCCCTTTAATAATGATTGTATTGTGAAAGTTCATTAAAAATTTTACTTGATTTAATAATTAGATACTGAGTCTCTTAAACCGTTTCATGTCTCTGTTCTAAACAGCTTAAAATGGCAATACTTGATTCTAGAGTATTGCTATGAAGAAGATAATATAATTATATCGCTAAATCTATCATCAGCTTTAGTCACTATATCTCCTGTAAATTAAGGGCTTTAACCAAAATCTTAAAGAAACCTTAAGAGCAATAACTGCAGAGTTAGCAAGACTCTTTTGAGGCACATATACTAATATTTTATCTATTAAAAACCTTAGGACCTGACTCTACAAAAGCTCAAAATTTTTGTGAATGATTGGTCTGCGTAGTAATCAATATCCATGCCTGTATCTTATTTCTTGGTCTAATTTTGATTCATTGAAGACTTTTATGGTCATGAATTCTCCTCTGATAACTGTAGAGGAAATAAGCTATTATTTGTATAACTAAAGTAAGCATTAATTTTTAACTATAAAAGAGTGAATACTAGCTTATATCTGTTGTCTTGGCCTTACCAGCTCATATAAAATGGGTGGTCCAGAATTCATAGCGAGGTTTCCATGAGCGGAAGGGATAGTTCATAAAACCACTACTTCTCATAAGTTTACAGGGAAGCCTTAGATAAGATTAAACTGAAACTAAATGCTCATAACTGGTGATTAAAGCATTCGAAAATTATATGTTCCTATTCTAACGATTCCAAGTTGTAGTCTTGGTCTTTGTGAGTTAGAGCGAAGTTGCATGCTTTCAAATTATTAAAAAACAAAGTATGTTAGATCTACATAAAAACTCATATCTAACTTTATTCATGTTGAAAGAGATCTAGATATATGAGAATATCTAGAAATAACCGATGAAAAAATAGGAGCCTCTAGTGTGGAAAAGAATGCTGATAAATTATCAGGCCTATCTTTTTGAGAGTATTCTTTCAGTTTTATCCCCAGAATCTCTCAGCAAAGTAATCTTTCTCTTTCATTTAATTGAAGAGGGAAAAATTAGTCGTAATCGACTCTGATCAACATTATATCTCTTAGCTATTAAGGTGAAAGATTTTGTAGAATTGTCAAACTTAGTCATTTCAGTATAAAATTTTGGAATAAAAGGTAATTTCAGAGATAAAATTTGGGATCATCTAAAATCTCTAGCCATGCCAGAAATAAAGAATTATGAGAGAAGCTAACTCTAGTAAGTACTAGCCTTTCTTCGAGTTCTAATGTTCATCCAGCAGTAGAATTTGAAAACAATAAAATATTTCATAGACAAGATTTCATCCCATATGTGTGAAACTCGCGAGAAATCACGTATTATGAGAATAGTTAGATATTTTGAGTCCAATGGTAGTCTTCAATTCTGTTATCTCGTCTTGACCAGAATAACAGTTCTCCTTTCATATGAGCATATAAAAAATTCACTTCCAGCATCATAGAGGAGCCATAAAGAATATTTGAGTTTGCAGAAATGAGGCTATATAAGAACCAGAAGAAAATCGGGCATTTATAAGATTTCTCTTGGGTTTTCCTAATTTACTTAATTCGTACATCAATTAGAAATGCAGGAAATACTTGTTCAACTTAAACTATACACTCACAAAACAGCCCATCAAGCTCAGATTTTGAAGCATATGTGCGTGAAGAATAAGAATTTTGAGAAAATTTCAAACGAGTTTGAAATTTTTCATAATAAGTCTTGTGAGTCTTCAAATTTTCTACTTTTCAAATTGGCATGAACTGGAGAACTAGAGCTTTATAGAAGGAGTCTTTGCGATGATCACTATTTAAGAGCCTAAGGTACTTCTCCAGTGTTCTTCTCTGCTCCTCAGCCACTCTTTCTCTTTAAGAAATCGTCAGTTTACGAAAATTATAATCAGAAAGAATTCTGCTCTCACTTTTTGAAAATCTGTTGAATTATTAAAAAATTTAGAATTAGGTCTGAGTTAAACCTCATAATCAAATCTAATTGTTTCCATCTGGCAAAAAAGTATGGAATGCTCAGCTATAGACAGGATGAATTCTGATAGGGAAATTCATAGTACCCAACTTGCTATCTAACATCAGAATGGAATTTTTCTGAGAATTTTCTAAACTCGTGAATCTTTTCTCCTCATTGATTAATTTTTACTCTATAGTTTTGTGGTTATATGAGGATTATAGATAGGTTAGTGACGTTCAAAGCAACCTCTTTAAAATAGCTAAAAACAGCTAAAGTTTAGAAATAAGACAAATAGAGCAATATTTGGAAAATTAATTGTCCTGGGGCCTAGCCAGGTTAACATTAATAATAAATAACTTATAATAAAGGCTCTACACAGCTTTATTCAGAGATCAGTTGCACAAAGAGGGTTGCAGATTTGACTGTGAAAATTCCATAATAGAACAACTGCAAAATTGTTTTCTTTTCTTTCGCAAGCCTGGTTAACAGTATAAACTGTGAGGTAAACATTTGGAGCAGCCTCTGTATGAACAGGATTATGCTTTAAGTTCCATTCAAAATTTACCTAGTCAAGATGCACATTTTTAACAAAATTTTATATGTGAATATGATTAATTTTGATTTGTCAGAAAGAAATATAGCTGCTTTCCATAATTCTTGTAGTCTCTACTATATCAGCATCGGTAAAGACTGCAGCTACTTCCTTTCAGTAAAAGGAAGGATCTATGAGATTCTGAGTTTGTCAGCAGTATTCAAATGGGACTTTTGGATAGATAAAATACTTCCTTTACCTTCTTTTCAACAAGTCTTCAATACTGATAACTTGATCAGAAGATTCATAGTGATTATAACTATGGTACGATTCTGGTCAAGGATTATAATGAGCTCACGTACTTATCCCTCTATTAGCATGAACAAAGCTACTTAGTTATCTTAAGTAATGTTTGAATAATATTCGAATTATTTCTGAATCGGCATTCAAAACTTAAGTCGCTCTGATGAAGAATTTTTCTTCTTATGAAATCTTCATAAATGAGTTTTATCAGGCTATAGTTTGCTTTATATAGCACGACACGAGGAGCTGGTTGGATGAAAAAGCTTATATCTCGCTCATCTTCTACCCTTTTCTTACCCAAATCAATTGCGAATTTTTAGCACAAAAATTCATATCCCATTTTCAGCCTTACTTCCCAGATTTTCGCAAATTTCAACCTGCTGAAATTACCCTGGGGTTTTGGGGTTTTGGGGTTTTGGGGTTTTGGG